TGCAAATGCAATACGATACATTGTCAAGAAACTGAATTATAAACATATTTTACAGATACACAATAATACAGAGACAAAAACAGATCTGCGCATAAATTCAAATTGTCAATTACAGATGCAAGCGCTGCTTTTGACTTGTACTAGACACCTTTACGCTTCATCGGTTTTCTACCGCAGTGCTCTGAATGAAATCCAAATTTTGTTTTATCGTCGGCTAAAATTTGAAAAGTTTGATTTTTCATAAACTTTTAAGGTATTTTATAATATAGAGGAATCGACAATTTTTTTCACGCAAATATTACGAATTAGTTATTATAATTGTCTAATATAAAAATAGTGCATAGTTGGATTTAGATCCATCCTTGTTGGAAATATTTGTTGTAACAAACAGCTAAGACAACGCTACTTTCCTTCTCTGGTCTAAATATTAAACATTTGGATGGTAAATTTCCTCAAAATTATGCTATTTTTCAAGTCAATTTTATGACTTCTTTAGATTAAATGTTGTTACTGTTTTTTACCCATCCTAACAATTCTGGGAGTTTTTAAATGCTTATAATTTTTGATAATAGAAGAAAACTTAAACCACTGTGACCAACTTGATGAATACCTTGAACCATTAATTATAATTCATTTGTTCATTAATTCTAATATTTCTGAGTGACTCAATCCTTTCCAATGAAGCGCTATTTATGTCCATGCGTTTTTATTGTAAAATGTTACTGGGGGAGACCTGGAAGGTCATTCCCGTAAGGAGGATCTCATGCATTGACCGAATATTGTAATAAATGTATGAAGCTATAATTTCTGTTTATTTATAAATGCCTTAACCCTAATTGTTTCTACAATCGATGTTATGTTCTAGGTGGTAGGACTTTTTCTGTTCAGTGGTATGTATTATGTAGTTGTGTAGTACATTGGTACATATCTCTGCCGCCAGGCAGCAGTGCATGTATTGTTGTGTATCGATATAAAGGGCAAGAAAGTCAGTATTATTAAGGGTTGCGAGGTGTTTTATTTTCGTGCCCGAGGATAACGAAAATTAATCTGATCGAAAGACAAACTTACATTTTCAGTGAAAATATTCTCATATTGATCGGTCTATATCGTGGTTGATGGTATAATTGCAAATGTAACTTAGTAATGGCAAAAAAAATTCTGGGATTTACCTAAAAATGTAAAATGTTTTTGGGTTAATCCTTTATTTGTGATATTAAAATCTTGCTTCTTGCCAAATTTAATAATTTTGAATTAACGGGACGTACTCTACTAGCTTTAATGAGTTAATTTCCAAGTATCAATATACACATAAACAATAATACCTTTTGAATGATTTGACTTGTAGTAACTTCAAATTTTTCCTCGAGAGACTGCACCTCAATATTTAATATTAGTTTGCCTAAAAAATAGGGTCCTTGACAGACGGCAGCAGGTAGACGGACAACGGAGTGATCTTAAAACGGTTCCGTTAATTAAGTATAGGACTCACGAACCCTTACAATGTGTTTATACTACCTCACCTGACATATTCCCCTGCTCTAACCTATGTTTTGGTACATTATAACGAATATATTTTTTTTATTTAGTTTACCGTTGATCAAGGGCCTCTTAATAAGAAGCGGACTGTCGATCTAAGTGTCAGATCACATTTGATGCTTTTCCCTGTCATCGGTATTTTAGATTCCGACTTAAAATGACTTATACTGACCATTTATTGAAAGCTTATGTCACTGAAATGATATGAAGTGATCAACAAACTGTTGAAAAGCACAAGGAGAAGTATTTTTATTCAATCTAATGTTTTTGCTAGTCTTGTAACGCTTACAGCTTAATCAAAGCTATATCAAACCAAAGAGAATTCCGTAAATCATAACTTTTAACAACTTGTAGCTTTTATCCACTACCCCTGTCGAAGCGGCGTTTGTGTTTGCTTTAAAACGAACCTTTAAGCTTTTCTAACTACAAAGTGTGATTTCACATTTATGCAGAGAATGATGCCTTTGGATTACAAAAATGGAACGTTTCATCACTTTAGCTTTGTAATTTCTGTAATGCATTTGCTCATTTAATAAGGGGCCTTACTTATCCAGTAAGTACTCCATAACACGTTAAATCAAAAAGCTCATTAAAAGTACATAATATAAACATAATCATTATTAATGCCCTTCACAAGTTCACTATTGAACATAGAAATTCCCAAAGCTAGTGAAACTTTAAATCAAAATTAAGTGATGCAATGTAAATTTTACAAAAAAACCGTGTTACAAACTTTAAAAGCTACGATTCTGCAGCGGAGTTTCTAGGGCTAGCGGAAAAAAGTACACAACATCTACACATTTAAACAAACTTTCCCATTCATTAAAATAGTAAATAAATATTAAAACAACTACTACTCGTAAAACCGAAAAATTTAAATCTCAAACTAACTACACGTAAGCGCATTCCAAATCAGAATGAGGAATGAGTTCTGCTCGTGCGCTCATGCTCGGCGTGAGCTGCAAATCGTGTCGAAAAGGTCATGGAGTGGTCGAATGTACCTCAAGATATTTGGTGGTTGATTGTCACGGGATCTGGCGGCTGAATAGGATTATCATACCTAGTGAATTTTTCGGATTTATGTTCCGACAATTGAGGGAGGGTTTCCTTTGAAGTTGCTATACTTTTTTCAGGGTTGACTTCGATTCTCCATAAGCGAAACCATTTGCCTAAGCGATTGGTGGCTCTTTAGTCTTTTGATCAGTATATTTGTGAGAAATGGCTTGCTGAAACGAGCAACGTAAATTGTCGTGTGCTCTGCAAAGGGAGCGGTGTTGACTACTGGATTCTTTGGGATGTTACTCGTATATAATGTGAAGATCAGAGGGGAGAGGACCGAGCTCTGAGGGACTCCAACCCTGAGGGGGTGCTTGGAGGAACGAGTTCCCTCTATACGAAATCTGAAATTGCGGTTGGCAAGAAAGGGTCTGATGATGTGGGTAAGCCTATCAGGCATGTTAAGTTTATATAGTTTGTAAAGCAAGCCGTCGTGCCAGACTGTGTCAAATCCTTTGGCAGCGTCGAAGAAAAGAGCACCGATGTTACAGATTCGACCATTACATATTGAGCAGGAGAAGCCTTCTAGGATGGTGGTTGATGGATCTGATTAGTGCAAGAGTGTTCGGGTCTGAAACTGATCTGTTCGTCAGGAAGAAGCCCGTTGATAATGACTTATTTACGGAGGCGATTCAATATTATACATTCGTAAACTTTCCCCAGTGTGCTGAGGAGACTTAATGTGTTTGTAGCTAAAGGCTAGGTTGCGCGGTTTTCCTATCTTAGGGATTCCTATGATGACCGCTTCTTTTCATGCGTACGGGAAGTAGCAGCTGGAGAGAAGATCGTTGAAAATTCCCTTTGAAAATTAATCCTAAAGAAAATTCCTACTAGGAGGCAGACAAATGGTGTTGAGACGGATTTCAGTACCCTGTTGCTCATTCCGTTAGGGACGGGTGCTGATTTCATTTTAAGGTTCTTGATGGTGTCTATGACTTCGTCAGAGTCACAGGATCTAAGGGGGGGGCGTAGATAGTAGCGCAGACCTACGCACGACCTCCGCTTCAACCTCTGCAAGGCGTGCGGGATCTAGGGGTTCGTTAGAAGGAGTGCATTGGCTCTCTTAACTGTCCGCGAGGCATTTGGCTTTTTCGGAGTCGTCAAAGACGAGATCGAAGTTTCCTGGCCACACGTTAACACATTCATAGTGATCTTTACAAAGATATATGTGATCAGTATGAATTTACCACGATAGCGCATAATTCTGCATTATTCGACTAAGTTTTTGTTGTGAGATGGTAAAGCTTCTCTTAACGTTCATTTATTTATTTATGTATTGGAACCAGATTATATATTCAAAATCTTTAATTTTATTAATTCATAGACTAAGTGACTTTATCGACAACGTTTTTGTTTCGTTAAGCGCACATCAATTGCGGTGGGTGTTTGGTGGGTGGTCCGACAAACTGAAATGGGAGATAGATGGGTTCATTAGAAGCATATTTTCCTTGTAAATTTTTTTTCTATCTCTTACCATTTTATTTAAACGAATTTTTAAAATTTTTTTGTTTATATCCCAATTTTCTAGTATTTTGGTTCAATAACTTCTACTATTTCTAGTTTTCTACCATTTTTTTTCTATTTTTCCTAAGAAATATAATTTTTTTTAAATTAAAAGAAAGATTGAAAGCCCAAAAGGCATAAGAAAAAATACTAACGACACATTGAAAGTGAACAAACGAGAAAAAAATTGTAAGCCCTTAAGTTTCCAGCCCCTTAAAAAAATAAATAAATATGTTGAGTAAATGTTCAAATGGCCATCAAAAATTTTTTATTTCATCCTCTTTCTATCGGTATATCACATGTTACATAAAACTTTAGATTATCGACAAAATTGTTGATAATCAAATGTGAGAACGGGGGGAATTAAAAAAAGTTTCGAAAAATTGCCAGGGCACCCTAAACTGGTTTTTACACGTGTAAATATTTTTTTATGGTTTCATTCTTGCGTTTGCGAGCCAGATAGATGTTGTCTCTTTCTGGTGGTACAGGCGAAGTTACGACGCGCGGATCAGCTACCTGCTTCTGTTGTTATTAAATTTAGTCGTGATTTGACTGTCTCTGAAGCTACTTGCGCGTTCTTTTTCGACATTCATTGTTGAACAGTTTCGTTGAGTTTAGTTTTTGTTTCGTTGATTGTTAAGTTTTTGTTGTTTGTTATTTGTTTCTGTTTTCGGACGGTAGTGTTCAAACTTAATTCAAAATACTGCAGTGATTATGGCTCAACGCACTTATTTTACTAACCAAGAATACGCTTATATGCTTTTGGTTTATGGCCGGGCCCTGAATAACGGCTACAGAGCACGTAGACTTTATGGAGAGCTGTATCCCACGAGAAGGTTGCCTAGCCATGATACGTTTGCAAATACTTATAGAAGGCTACGTGAAACTGGCAAATTGCAACACAGGAAACCAGGAGTACGTAGAAGACCACTTGATGTTGCTGTGGATGAGCGTATCTTGGCGGCTTTTGACGATGATCCCACTATAAGCATTAGAAAAGTAGCGACTGAACTCGGCCTTTCTGTATGGAAAGTGTGGTCGGTTCTCCGCAACGATTGCAAGCCTCACCCCAGTGCAAGGTACTTATTATTTCTTCTTTTAATAAAACTACTGTTTATCTTATCCATTATTAATTATTTCGTACATTTTAAAGTGAGTAAAGTAACTTACACTATTTTTTTTGTGCTAGGTATCGTGGAATGAGATTTTGCACGGCGTACAGAATTTTGCAGCTTTATATTGCACAAAGATGTCGACGATAATCAATTTTTGAAGAGCATTTTATGGACCGACGAGTCAAAGTCTACACGAGAAGGCATTTCACATCAACATAATTTACATTATTGGTCAGATAAAGATAAAAATCCACGTAAAACGAGACAAATATCGCATCAGACACGATTTAGTGTTAACGTGTGGGCAGGTGTGATTGGAAGATATTTAATTGGTCCTCATTATCTACCTGATAATTTAAACGGAGATAATTATTTACATTTTTTACAAAATGATCTCCCGGAACTAATGAGCGAGGTACCAATAATGAATGAGGACACAAGAATAATATTTCAAAACGATGGCTGCCCTGCCCACTATCGCAGAACCGTAAGGGAATATTTAGATACGGTATTTCCGAACACGTGGAAAGGGAGACTCGGACCTATCGAATGGCCTGCGAGATCCCCAGATCTGACTCCAATGGATTTTTATGTCCGGGGCCGAGCAAAGGAAATTGTATACGAAAATGAAATACAAACAAAAGAAGAGTTGATTGGAAACATAAATGCTGCTTTTCATATTATGAAAGAAGAAATGCAATTAAAAACTACCACGACTGAAATACGTCGAAGATATCAAGAGTGTCTGCATAATGTAGGAGGACATTTTGAACAAAACTTGTAAATTTAGTAAAAAATTACTAGTAGGTACTTATTTTTTTTTATTATTATTGAGCAAGACCCTGGTTAGTGTAGTATAGACACAACCATTAATTTTTTTGTATTAAATACAATAATAGGCGCTCGTATGAGCTGGTAGCTGTAGCTGACCCGCGGGTCCTAAGCGGCAATTTTTTAATTCCCCCCGCCCTCACATTCAATTATCAATGATTTTGTTAAATAATCTAAAGTTTTATTTGACATATGATATACCGATAGAAAGAAATTTGAAATTACTCAACATATTTATTTATTTTTTTAAGGGGCTGGAAACTTAAGGGCCTACAATTTTTTTTTTCTCGTTTGTTCACTTTCAATGTGTCGTAAGTATTTTTTCTTATGCCTTTTGGGCTTTCAATCTTTCTTTTAATTTAAAAAAAAATCATATTTCTTAGGAAAAATAAAAAAAAATAGTAGAAAACTAGAAATAGTAGAAGTTATTGAACCAAAATACTAGAAAATTGGGATAATAATAAAAAAAAATTTAAAAATTCATTTAAAAAAAATGGTAAGAGATAGAAAAAAAAATTTACTAAGAAAATATGCTTGTAACGAACCCATCTATCTCCCATTTCTGTTTGTCGGACCACCCACCAAACACCCTGTATGGTATAGGAAAACGGCGACAATCTTGTAAAAGAAAGATCGTGAGATTAATCAAACTATTTTATTGTAACACTGAAAATGTCAAATGCATAAAGAGTTCAACTACAAGATTTATTAATTAATTGAAATGTTTGTGTGCTTATAGCTTTATTTTTTTTTAATTCTAACTGTACTTTTATGCAACATTGTATACTACTTGCATACTTTTTTATTTGGTTTGTGTATCAACGCTGGATAATCAAATGTTAATTCACAAATGTTCACTATATTATGTCTTCAACATAGCAGGAAATTTAGCTGTCATATGCATCCCGCTGACAATTTATAATTCTAGTTTAGAACAATAAACACGAAAATGATAAGAATCGCTTCCACATACATTTGTCAGAAATGGAAATTGTACATGCTCATGCTGTACATGGGATGGTTATTAAGAATCATTTATATCACTTTATTTAATCTTTGACTCTTTGGGTCGCGTTAGCTCCACGAGGAAAACAAGAACGAACATGTACACACTTATACACTGTGTTTATTTAGTTGCCTGCTTTGTGTTGCTGCGCTGTGTTTAAGTGAGGAAGTGTTTTTCTGTGTACAAGCTTGTCTCATCGCCTCGTGTGCCTCTCGTCGTGTACGTGTATGTACAAACTGGTGGTATCACTTGAACTCCGGATGCTCGCTGCGATGGACTAAGAATAAACTGTTACTGCGTTTTCCCTTCGTGCTATTAGTTATATATAGTAATTTTTACACATTTATCATAAAAAGAAAATTAATAAGCCACGGTGAATAAGAAGATGGTGGATGGTGATGGTTTGATTGTTTAGTTTGCCGCAGTTGGCGGGCAGCTGAACGAATATACAGTCACTCTCTCTTTTCCATCTAGAGACTCACGAACTCGAGCGCAAAAATCAATACGTTTCCGAGAGCAAACGAGGGAACAGAATTTACCCAAAAACGAATTAATAGCGTTAAATAACTTACGCAATAAACCAGAACTCACGATTATCCACGCGGATAGGGAAAATGCCACGGTAGTCATGGATACGTCCGATTATAATTCTAAAATATAAGAACTTTTATCAGATGTTAGCACGTATAAAAAGGTCAAAACTATCCAACAAATAACACACTTAAAACAACTAGTGATCTCATAATGAAATACTCCAAAAAATAAAATCTGGACGTAAAATTGATAATACCTACATCTGCCAAATCACCGCAGTTGTATGGGTTATCAAAAACACACAAGCTCAATATTCCACTACGTCCCATTGTGAACAAATCGATTCACCAACTTACATATTGGCTCAACACTTAGCGAAAATACTCTCACCGTTCAGGGGACATACAACAGCACACATAAAAGATTCCTACCAATTTTGTCAGCGAGATTAAAACCTACACCTGACAGACAATGAAACTGTGGTCAGTTTTGATGTGCAGTCACTGTTCACATGCTTACCTGTTGTAGATTGCATCTCAATTGTAACTAGAAGGCTGGGAAAAGCAACATGCCTGTTGAATATTCAGTGTTATTCCGACACTGCTTTACATCTGGTTACCTATTTTGGAAGGACGAGTTCTTCAAGCAAGTAGATGGTTTGGCTATGGGCTCATCTGTATTTTCCATTTTCACCGACATATTCATTGAAGACTTTGAGGAGAAAGCCCTCCTTACTTCTCCCAAAAATCCAATATTCTACAAGCGGTACGTAGACGACACTTTCACAATAGTGTCTTTATATATGTAGAGTAACTGCATTTTTACACCATCTTAACTACATAAATTCTAAAATTCAGTTCACAATAAAGTTAGAGGCAAACAATTCTTTAGCTTTTCTAGATGAGTTAGTAATTCAAAATCTTGATAATACCATGATATGTGAAGCTCAGTTAGCTACCATGGGCAAATCATTTTTTGCAGAGAGTACGAGATCTGTGACAATAAATAACCAGCCGTCGAGCTCTAACACGTCAAGCAAGTTTTGCATAAAAACACTGCCACAGTCAAGCGTGTACTTGCCGTACAGCCATGTGTTATAGTTACCACTGACAAGATTGGCTACATCTGGAAGCATGCTTCCATTAAAACATACTTCAAGCCGCCGAAAAAGATTAGTCAGTTTTTACCATCAGTCAAGTGTAATGTCCCTCTGCAAGGGGCAGGAGTGTACAGGTTTGATTGTAAATGTGGTCTCTCTTACATATGATAAACAATAAGATCAATAAAAACGCGCGTTAAAGAACACATAGCTGATGTGAAGAATCGACTTACTCGGGAGCATATAAGAGATAGTGTCGATCATAGCAACTTCTCAAAGAAAAAATCAACAATTATTGATGATATTATTACACAAAATTTGGTCCCCGCCTCAAACTCATGACTTGCAGTTCCGCAGCCACGTATTCTTACTACTAAATAAGACAAAAGTCAAGGACAAGCTAGTGGTGGCTGTATCGAGATGTACACTCGTGTGTTGTACAGTAGTAAGGTAGGAAAATTCACAAAATTGCCAGTACAGTTTAGTCATCAATTTCAATATCGTCAACATCGATATAGTACACTTTTAAAGCTTTAACTAGTGTAATTATTTATGATAAAAATCTGGAGGCACGGCAGTGCCCCCGCCAAGTCGAGCAAAAAAGAGGCACGGCCGTACCATTCTTTTCTCGAAGCAATTCAGGCCATTTTCGCCCCCCTATAACTTCATTGTGGATAAAACTAGAAGCCTGAATTTAGTAACCTATCAGGCATTGTATAAACACGGTATATTTCAAATTTAATTCAATTTGAAGAAGTAGTTTAAGAGTTATAACTAGTCAAAATTTCTTAATTTTGTCACTCACTGACTGACCGATCATCAAAATTCAAATGCACTTCTAGCAGACGTAGAAGCTTCAAATTTAGAAATAAAATTAGTGTTTAGTGTAAAAATCAAGGAAAAACTAAAATATTTTACAATTTCAGTCTAGTTTTCTAGATACAACAATTGCATAAATAACTTTGTAATCCTATACCAATATATAGGATTACAAAGTTACATTTGCAGTGAATGAATCAGTGTACTTGTATAATATGTATAATATATAAATAATAATGGAAAAATAGGTTTAGATAGGTAACTAGATATAATTAAATTAAAAATTTCAAAGGCAACTTGTAAAATGGTCAACTCTTGTCTCGTATGATGAGTGTTGCCATGCCAGCTATGTACTTGCGTATTCATATGTATGTAAGGTTGTAAATAACCATATAAATTTGCGTTTTTCGTTCATAATTTCGATTGCTATATTAGTTTGATGACTGAAGGGCTTCTTACTTATTGATTTACTTGTATTATTTGCTTACGATTTGGATGTTGTTTGGATAATTTTAATGTATATTAAGACGTTGTAATATTACCTTTTCGTTTATAATTTCGAATATTATTATTATTTTATTTATTATTAATTATATGGGGGGATAAGTCGCTCGCGTTCGTAGTCTTCAACCACCTAATCCTAGGCCCACCCTACATGTTTACCCCGGGTGGTGCTAAAAGAGCGACAAAGCCGAAAGAACAGACTCGGCTACTCGCCGTGTGGTAGCGGCGTAAAATATACCACCTCCTTGTTTTCGCACCATGAGGTAAAGAAGAAAAGAAATGGCCCCGAGTTTCCGGCGCCCCTTTAATGGGGCAGGGGTGCGAAGAATCTCCGGGAGGAAAACATTTTACGCAACTCGTTCTGTCTCCCGGAGGGGCGAAAAGAGGATTACGGAGGCCCGTCTAGCTACGCTGAATGTATGTGGAGCAATGAATGATAAAATGGATAAAGTATGCGATATGATGTATGATAGAGTAATAGATGTATTATGTGTAAATGAGACGAAGCGGAAGGGAAAGGATGTCACTATACGTACTGGTCCGGTGTAGACGAGACCGAGCGAGCATGCCAGGGAGTCGGTATCATCCTTTCAGAAAGAATGGGTCAATGTGTGAAAGAGTATGAATGTGTTAGCCCGAGACTGCTATGGATACGAATAAAAGTGGGCCTAAAGAAGTTGTTTGTTCTAGGGGTCTACGCCCCAGACATGTCTAAGCCCACTTATATCCGAGATCAGTTTTGGGAGATGGTAAGGATGGTGTTAATGAAATGTAAGGAAAATGAAAATATTGTTATGTTAGGAGATTTTAATGGAAGGGTTGGGGTGAGGAGGCTTGGCTATGAAAGGATACTGGGAACGTTTGGTGATGAAAATATTAATGAAAATGGTAAAAGAAAACCGAGTAGTTGCTTAGTAAACACGTATCTATTTAGCTTCGCCTATAAGTTGTCAATACTAGTGCAAAATCTTCAATATTTGATGTGTGGCAAACACCGCTTTGTGAGTGAACTTATGACCTATTTCGTTGTGAAAAATCTTGCATAACAGTTCTAGTATCGTGAAGTAATCTTGTAAAAACTATCTCAACATTACTAAATCTGCGGGTAATTGTAAAGTGTTGGCGATTTTTGTGTACAAGTGAACAATTTACGTAAACAACAACAACGAGTATGCTTCTCTCTTCTCTTCTCGGGTGAATGCTTTTGCCTCTAAAGACAAATTGCTAAACTCAGGTAGTATCGAACATTATATAAAATTTATTAAATAAAATTACAGTATAAGTGCGATTAACGCCTACCAATTTGCATTCAGCAACTTTGCAGTTAAGTGTATTTTGTTGCAAACCTCAGTGATAAACAATAGTATAATGTCTACCGACAACAATGATTGGGGATGCTGTGGTGATAACCCTGACACAGAAGAGTACATTAAGTGCCAGAAATGCTCAAAAAAGTTTCATGTGGCCTGTCTCAGCTCTCCCTCCATAATAAAACCTAGTGAGTTTTCGACATGGGAATGTCCTCTGTGTACCAGCCTACGACCCAAAACTGGGCATAACGATAACACGCCGGTGCGATTTAACCCTAATGTCACGGTACGGGCTTCTAAAAGACAGGCATTGCAGTCACCTCCAATAATAGGAGCGTCGGCTGATGAAGTTAGAGGCATCATGCAGGAGTATTGTAAGAGCATTACATCTAAAATCGATTCCTTAACTATTTCCATTAGTTCTGAACTAAAATCAGTTAAGGAGGAGATGCTGGAAATTAGGAGCTCTATGGATTTCATGAATTCCAAATATGAATTATTGATCAAAGACCACAAAGAAACTAAACAGGCGGTGGTTTATTTCCAAAAAGAAAACAGTGCTCTAAAGACCAATGTTAAGGACCTCACGGCGCGAATTAACACCCTTGAACAGAACGCACGAGCTATGAATGTAGAAATTCAGTGCGTTCCTGAGAAAAAAAACGAAAATTTAATGCAAGTAGTGACCCAACTGGGTACTGTACTTAAGTGTAATGTTAAAAGCGAAGATGTTATCAACTGTACACGTATCGCCAAGATCAACCCTAATAGTACGCGACCAAAATCAATTGTAGCCCAATTCGCCAATAAAAAGATTCGTGATGAGTTTTTAGCAGCATCCATCAATTTCAACCGAAAAAAGGCAATACAGGATAAGCTTAACAGCTCGCATCTGGGATTCAACGGCGAAAAATCTCCAATATTCATTGTGGATCACTTGTCCCCTATCAATAAATCGCTTCATGCCGCAGCTAGAAAGATTGGTACAGAAAAAGGATACAAACATGTGTGGGTTAGGAACGGGCGTATTTTTATGAGAAAAACTGATAATTCTGACTATATGCTTATAAGAGATATGGACTCATTAAATTGTATTAAGTAGTTGTAATGATAACTATTATTTTAATTTAATACAAGTAATTGGATAAAAATCTATAAAATTCACTTCTACATCTATATATTATCAAAATGTTCGAGGTTTACGCACTAAAACCAACATATTTTTGCAAAACCTGCTTATTTCAAATTATGATGTTATTGTTCTAACAGAAACCTGGCTGAATAGTAAAATACTTGACTCTGAACTTTTTGGTGAGGGATATGCTGTATACAGAAGGGACAGAGAAATGTCTGGCTTTAACGCGAAAAAAGAGGGGGGTGGGACACTAATTGCAATTTCTAAACGTTTAAATTCGAAGCGTATGCAGAACTGGGAAAGCGAATGTGAGGATGTTTGGGTTGTAATTGATGGTTCTCAGTCACTAGCTCTGTGTGCGGCATATCTGCCACCCCCGGTTCAAACGTCAATGCTAAAACAGCAACCAACAAAACTTATCATCACTGCACCAGTATTTCATTGATTTCGTCAATTTAAATAATTTAACACAACATAGCTCTATAACAAACAGTATGGGTAGATCTCTCGATTTGGTCTTCGCTAATATGTCATCCTGCGTGGTTGCTGAGGCCGTAGATATTTTGTGTCCTATTGACCCACTACATCCACCTCTCTCTATAGAACTCTCTCCATTAGAAAGGCCAAAGCTACAGTCCAATGCCGTAAGTAGGTTTAATTTTCATAAAGCAGATTACGTTGCTATTAATAACTATTTAGCTGAAGTTGATTGGAAGTCTCTCTTTTATGGGAAATGTGATGTAAATAAGAAACTTGGATTATTCTTGGAGGTTGTTAACAAAGTCATTCATAAATTTGTACCAATTGCCAAACCAAAAACTAATAAATATCCTCCCTGGTTCAGTAATGACTTGATTAGTCGCTTACGAGAGAAAAATAGGGTTAGACTAAGGTACAAAAAATACAGCAACCCCCTGGACAGGATATCATATCGTCTACTGACCGACCGCTGCAAAAAATTAGCTTCTGTATGCTACAACGCATACATTCGTAAAATTGAGGACGGAATTTTAACGAACCCGAAACTGTTCTGGTCTTATATTAAAACTAAACGTGGTGGCTCTGGAACATATCCAGCTACGATGATGGACGGTAATACGGTGATACAAAATGGTAATGACATATGCAACAGCTTTGCATCTTACTTCTTCTCTACTACCTCAAATCTTGGTGTCCCATGTGACATAAATACTGACGAGAATATTTTTAGTACATCAGTGGGGGGAGCAATCGATTGTTTTACAACTCTAAATCTTTCCCGTAAGCAAATTTACAAAAAATTAGTCAATATTTATGTAACGAAGGGCACTGGGAGTGATAATATTTCACCGTTGTTTATTTCACGATGCGCGTCAGGCCTGGTGGAACCTTTATTTATTATCTTTAATAACTCATTAAGTTCTGGGGTTTTTCCCAAAGTTTGGAAGGTTTCTAAAGTGGTACCAGTTTATTAGGCAGGTGATGCTCAGATCATTAGCAACTACAGGCCTATTTCCATATTGTCCTCATTAGCTAAAGTGTTCGAGTCTCTAGTCTGCCCTATTCTTCAAGCCTACTTCGACAAGTATTTAAACGACAACCAGCACGGCTTCACAAAAGGTAGGTCTACTAATACTAATCTAGTTACGTATGTGGAAGACATTGCAATTTTGCAAGTCACATTGATGGCAATAAACAAGTAGACGCAATATATACAGACTTCAGCAAAGCCTTTGATAGAGTAGTCCATCGACGGCTTCTGACAAAACTATCTGCATACGGAATAGGGGGTTCTGTTCTAGCTAGGTTCGAATCGTATCTAAGTGAACGTTCTTTCTATGTGGTCGTTAATGGTTTTAGCTCAGAGCTACGAGATATCACTTCTGGTGTTCCGCAAGGTTCACACCTAGGCCCTATTCTCTTCAATATCTTTGTGAACGATATACCTAATTGTATAAAATACTCGTCCCCTTCGATGTTCGCAGATGACCTAAAACTGTGGAAAGTAATTGAAACACAAGATGATGTTTTGCATTTACAAAAAGATCTTGACGCGCTAGTGAAATGGTGTCAGACGAATGGAATGGAGCTCAATATCAATAAATGTGTTCACATTAAATTCACTAGGAAATTGAATCCTATTCCATCCATCTACAGCATTAATGGGATTCGATTAGGAGAAAGGACAGTAGTAAGGGATCTGGGTGTGCTCATGGATAATAAAATGACATTTGTCCCACATATTGACTACATCATAGGCAGGGCGTCCAAGATGTTGGGTTTTATTATCAGGAACGCTAGAGTATTCAAACGCCATTGCTCAAAAATTGCGCTATACAATAGCTTGGTTAGATCGATCCTTGAGTATGGAAGTGTGGTCTGGCGTCCACATTATGCTACTCACACACTCCGTATTGAACGCATTCAAAAACGATTAGTAAAACACTTGGTGTTTTCACACTTCTGGCATAAAAGATTTAGCCCCTACAAGGACCTACTAGAGTTCCTAAAGATGCAGAGCTTGGACAACCGCAGGGACATACTTGACCTATCCTTCTTTTTCAAGATAATAAGATATCAGTTGCATTGTCCTGCACTCCTGATAAAATTTAATTTTAAAGTTCCGTCACGAATGCCTCGTAAGCCCATCGAACCTCTCTCTCGTCCATTTCGCAAAACAGTTTTGGGAGCCAACTCACCGGTTTCCAGAATTTCCCAACTATATAATAAGTGCGGAAGGGAGACCTCAAAAAGGAAAATAGGAAAAAAATTTAACTTTTTTTTCTTAAAATGTTAATGTTATGTCTCTAGCTGAGTTTAAGGCCACAGTAAACGATACATTATTTAAGTAACTAGCTGTAAGTCATTGTTTCATTTACTTTCATAAAATTATTTTGTTCTATTCTAAGTTTTTGTATTTATTTATTTTTGTTTTTTACTTGGTAACTTTTTAGTATCTTGAATGAAGCATGTGGTGTATACCTTTAATTGATTGTACAATTAGTATATAAGTAATGTGTGTTTACTATTTCTGCATTGTTGTAACAATCGTTGGTGTACTTAAATAAATAAATAAATAAATAAAGCCTCCTCACCGTATGTGTGGAAAGGAATCTTTTTGTGAAGAACACTTTCTTTCGTCATAAGAAGGTTCACATGTATACTTGGGAAAGAGTTGATGATAGAAGCATGATAGATTTCATAACTGTGGATGAAAGAATGAGGAGCGCAGTGGTGAATACAAGGGTTTACCGGGGGTCCAACGTAGGGACGGACCACTACCTGGTCTTATGCCGAATTAGGGGTTCATTCAGACGTTGTTGGCATCGGATATCTGTGTCTACCACTGCGTTACAGCGTAAAAGAATTGAGAGGTTACAAGATGAAGATGTGAAAGACGAGTTAATCAAATGCCTTTTGTACGCCGATGATCAAGTGATACTTGCGTCATCGGCGGCGAGTTGTGCAATGATGGTTAGATTGAATGAACAGGTCATTAAAAGAAAGGAGTGGAATGAAAGTGAACGTAAGTAAGACGAAAGTGATGGTTTTTGAAAGAGAAGAAAGCAAAAGGTTGGTTGAGGTGCGTATTCAGCAGGGATGGGAGATATGATAAGGATATTGAACGACGAGTGAATAATATAGTAAATAGGGCTCTACACTCTATTGTGAAAAGTCAGAATGTGTCAAAAAAGGCACGTATGGCAATTCACAATGTTGTATTAGTCCCTACTTTAACATATGGTAGTGATAGTTGGGTGTGGCAGAAGAAGCACGAGAGTAGAATAAATGCAGTAGAAATGCGGTCGCTAAGGAGTATGTTAGCGCTGAATCTGAGTAACAGAGTGAGAAACTGTTTGATAAAAGAAGAGTGTGGTTTGCAAGATGATGAAGTGACCAGGATTAAGAAAGGAATGCTTCGGTGGTTTGGTCATGTAGAAAGAATGAATGCGGAAAGACTGACAAAGCAAATATATGTTGCAGAAGTGAATGGAAGAGTCGGAAAGGGACGTCCTAGGCGGAAGTTTGTCGACCAAATTGGCGATATACTAAAAATGGGCCAAATTAAGAGTACCCTTAACCGACGAGCATGTATGCGTAGGTATATGGATGTGGAAGAGGCGAGAGAGGTATGTCAGGATCGTGCTAAATGGAAGTCTGTAGTCTCTGCCTACCTCTCTGGGTGACAGGCGTGAGTGTTTATGTATGTATGTATGTATGTATTAATTATATTATTTATTATTTATTATTAATTTGATTGATATATTCTATTATTACTTTGACGATTGGAAGGCTTACTTATTGGTTTACCTTTATATATTATTTGCCAAGGATTTGGACGTTGTTCGGATAATTTTAAGATATATTAATACATTTCAAGTACTTTAAAGTCACGTTTATTTATTAATCGTATTCCTGCTTAAAAAAAATCTCTTGCGTACAAGTAGGTACTAGTAGTCACAATGGATTCGGAAATACTGTATGTAAATGACAATCCTTGCCCACACTGGGTTGTCCCTATACCTGGCGATAGTTCGTGTTTATTTCATTCTTTGTCATTCTCTAAGTGTATGAGAATATTGAGTCGTCGTATGAGATTAGACTTGCTATAATCGAGTATGTGGTAGCGCATTGGGATGAGTTACAACTTTATACTTGTGACGAGCGTGGAAAACCCTACATTAATGCTGATTTGTACACGACGGCAACGGTAAAAACAACTAACTATGGTTCCACGTCTGAACTTATGGCAGCCGCCGCTTTGTATCCGTATGCTTTCGAGGTTTACGAAAATGGCCTTTTGAGAGGATCATTCGGTGATGATTCTGGTAATCCTGTGAAATTTTTACTATTTTCTGGAATTATCTTAGGTGGCCACTATGAAGGGCTCCTTCCAGACGTGCCTCCAAGTGATGATAATTCGAATAAAAATAATAAAAATTTACTTAAAACGGGCGGAAGACCTAAAAAGGTTAATAAAGGAAGACCTTAATCTTCGGCACTATCCCGTTCTCAACAAATCAAGCAACGGATCGTTATCGCCAGAACAAACCCGAAAAACCTAAGGAGACATTAATTCGTTACAGTTCTTCATGTCTGGAAGTTCACAGAGCAGCTATAGCGCGTTACATGCGTCTCATCCCGAAATTCACCGAGAAGCAGTGAGTCGTTATATTGCTTCTACTTATACCTTTTACTTCTTTAACCGTGATGCTGTGGCACTTTATAAAGATTTACACCCTGAGCTAAATCTTAAATCTGTCCCAAGGAAAAGATCAAACGAAAAATGATAATTTCGACTAAAAATTTAGAAAAAATCACTCAAGCGCTAACCAATAAAATTAAGAACAGATTAGAAGCGGAGAAACTAGTTAAATGTTCAGTTCATAACAGGCAGCAAATATTAAAAAACTTTAATGAAACTGTTGATAAAAGATAAATTTAAAGTATCGTTAGGAAGACTAGGTTCATGCTCTCCAAATAGTTCTTTAAATGACAGGTTAGAATGTTTTCTTGGAAAATCGGAGCATAGAAGTAACCAGGAGCCACATTACGCAGAAGAAGCTTACAATTTATTTTAAAAAAAGAACAAAGCTATCGAAATTGACGATACAGGAAAAGCGGTCTTTGGGAATGTGAAAAAGCATGGCCATAGTTTAGTTTGAGAACGTAATTATGTTAGAGAACGTAATTATGATAAAAAATTTTGTAAATTGTATGTTGCAATTCACAAAAATTTTCGAAAACTTGGTGAACACAAGTGCAGCTCAGTATTACACATTATTGAAAAAGTAAAAATATTGGAGTATTTAAATTATATTAAATTTCTCAAAGGGCATATTCCTCGTCTTAGGACAATTTCAAGAGAAATATATCAAGTACAGAGTATTTTTAACATTTTAAAAGATATTGATGAATCATTAGAAAAATCTGACGTAGAAAGAATAAAAAAAAAAACAGGGAAACAACAAAAAGCTAGCAGTATTGTTGTGGAAAGTGAAGAGTCACAACAAATTGTAGGGGATGATGTCATAGATAAACATAAGGCTGCGTTTAAATCTCTTAAACTAAAGACAGATACTCCAAAGCTTGAGTGCATGTCGTGTGATTAAGAAAAGCTATAGACACCAGTATTTGGAATAATCTTCTCAATTATTACAAAACCAACAATCTAGATCACAGCCCCTACATTTGTCACTTGTGTTTACAAAAAAAATTAGAGCAAATCAACTGCCAGCAGCCTGCGTTCTAAATGATCTACACGTTGGTAGTGTTCCATCACAGATAGCTGAGTTAAATGACTATGAAAAGATATTAATTCAATGCGCCAAAGCATTTCAGGTAGTAATGCTAATGAATCCTGTTGCAAACAGGCATTTACCTAATAGGCATATGGTGATATAAGTAAACGGTAGAACTATTCACCTTCCTTTGCCTCTTGAAGAAACTTTGAAAAGGCTGCCTAGACTGGAACACCCGATTACTAACCATGAAATGTATATTATGGTACGAGGTACGCCAACAAAATCAAAAATAGTGTGGGAGGATATTGTAGACGTCAATAAAGTTTACCAAGCCTTACAATATTTAAAATGTGTAAATGCTCTTTACTTTCAAATACCGCTTCCACACTCACCTCAACAATTGTTTGCTTATATTAACGAATAGTATAATAATAGTATAATAAATAATATAGTAGACCAATTGGAATCTCAAGTAGATAACGTTGTAGAAGAAAATGATGGGCTACTAACACTATTTACCCCTTGCATGAAAGGAGGAGAAACGCTCCTATTTCAGAACTCTACCAAATGCTCAAAGTCAATGCTGCTCCAATTGATTTTAAAGATAAATATTTAGATGTAAAGTGCTTTCCTGATCTTTACGTAGAAGGTAAATATGGGCAGTTTTATGTTCGGCAGCAAAAGTTAGCATCTAGTGAATATATTACAGCAAGACTAATGTCAAAACACTCTCAATTCCGCCTAAATTAACAGTATTTATTTTTCCTACTTAATGATGCTAATATAATATGTCAAATAAATTCAGGGATATTCTATAAAGTGAATTGCGTTAATGAAAAACAAAAAATTACAGCCGAACAGTATTTTGAGATGCTTAATAAAGATGAGTTAGAAGGTGACTTAACAGCGATATTTGGTAGGTTAAGAAATACCGAACAGTTTTGGAACAAACCGAGAAATGATGTCATCTGTATGACACAATACTACCGGCCAGCAACCTGGTTTCTCACCATGAGTCCTTCAGAATGGATGTGGGATGATTTAGGTGAGTACCTTAGGGAATTTAACGGTCCTGAAATGTCGAACAAGAGCATAAGTGAATTAGTTGCACTAGATCCTGTCTCCACTTCTCGATTTATTAATAACAAGTTTAAGGCTATGTTGGACTTCATTATGTCGTCCGATGAGCCGCTTGGAAAAGTAACACATTACTTTTGGAGACGAAAATATAAATCCCGTGGAGCACAACACTTTCATTTAATGTTATGGGTAAAAGACGCCCTCATATTTCACGAGTCCTTGCTTGATGTGGTTGCATCATTTATTTCAAAGTACGTAACATGTGCTATACCTGACAAGAATGTTTCACCAACACTCTATCAACGAGTAACGTCATATCAGACTCAAAAACATAATAAGTATTGCATGCGCCAAAAGAAAACAGGAAGAGGTTTCGTAAAAGTTTGTCGTTTCAGATTCCCCCGCCCGGTCACAGAAATACTTAGTATAAGAGGTATAATAGAATCAATAGTTGCAAAAAAAAAACATTGTCCTCTAACAGTAGACTTTACTATATTGTACGCAAAAAAGAATGGGTTATGATTAATGATTATAATCCCGTTATTTTGCTAGCATGGAATGGCAATACAGAAATTCAATATTAAATTATTATTATTAACGTCACTAAATATACCACCAAAAGCGAGAAAACTCACGTTGCTGATATGTTTCAAGACATAAACTCTACAAAAACCTTTAAGAAGCCGCCTGTTTAACATTGGCATTTGAGTATAGTCTAATAGAGAGTGCAGCTCTTTAGAAGCCAGTGACCTCTACTTGGTATTCCTTTGTACGGTACAGATCCTACCACAACAATTCGATGGCTGGACGTTAACATCTTTCGCAACACGGCGCGTTAAATCTAAATCTGATATGATGATGCTAGACAGGCTCCGGCACTATCCTAAACTGCCTTAATAGTTGGAGAATACTAACTTGTATAGTTTTGCTCAAAATTACGATATTGTTAAAATACGTAATTTTGAGCAGTCTCCTCTAAAGTCAAGTACTACGAGATAAATGATGGTAAAAAGTTCCTGAAAAGAAAAGCTAACCTATATTTGATTAATCACTATTTCTACGACGGAGAACAAGTACCAGAGAAATACTTCTTCTCTATACTTCTTTTATTAAAGCCATGGCGTTCTTTAGATGAACTCAAAATGGGGTGTGATACTTACACGGAGGCCTTTAATTTTGCGATAGAAGATTTAAAAAAAGGAATCGATTATGGTAATTCAATGATAGAGTACAGATACAGTATACAAAAAGCATTTGAAATGATAAAATCTAAAGTTGCTGAGATAAATAAAGAAAGGGAAATTGTTGATGGTGACGACGGTCCCGAAAATCCTTTAGACTTTGAAGCTGTAGAAGCTGCAAACACAATGGATGACTTTCAGAGAATCAATCTAGTAGAAGTAAAGCAGATTGATCTTGAAAGTTTCATCGCAAAACTTAATACCGATCAAAAAAGAGTCTTCGATATGATCACAAATAAAATGGACACAACCGATAGTAACGCTGACATTTTACGCTGTTTTGTGAGTGGAACTGGTGGCACTGGAAAGAGCTTTTTAATAAAAGCCCTGAAAGTTTAGCGTATTAAACAAGTGGCAGTCAGTGCTCCAACAGGAATAGCTGCATTCAATGTGAATGGATTGACTATACATAGACTGTGGCAGCTGCCTGTGGAACACAAGCAAACATCGAAGTACAAGCCACTTTCTGATGAAGTGCTCCAAGTTCTGAGATCAGGTTTGAAAGAAGTAATGTTGTTTATCATAGACGAGGTGTCGATGATATCCAACGTTACTTTAACATATATTCATTTACGCTTGTCTGAGATATTCGACACAAGCGACGATCAGAATGGGTGGTTTGAAAAAAAACATCTTGTCGTTTTCGGGGATCTCTTACAGCTTCCACCGGTAAGAGAAAAGTCACCTTTTGAAAAACTATCAACTACCGAAACTAAAAAGTTGTCGGGTTCCCTCAGTATACCAAATCTATGGATTGATCTGTTCATATACGATGAACTAACAATTAAGATGCGACAGCTCAATGATTCCTACTTTGTTGAAATGCTAAATAGAATAAAATTAGGTGTTACTACCCAAAAAGACCGCGATTTACTCTCGAATAGATTAATAACTCTCAGATCCGATTCAAATGAAAACAGATTATTTGAAATAATTGAACACCTCTCGAAACTTCCTGATGATACCGTTTGCTTATTACCTATAAAAAATATTTTTGTCAACAACTAAATACTGCAATGTGGGAGAGATCTAAGATCTCTCCCATATCCCAAAATAAAACTTACAGCTGTAGATAGCATAGATTGCCCCAGATATCTAACAAAAAGAGCTCGTGAGTGCATAAAAAAATATGAACTTCTATGACTGCGGGCCTGGGAAAGAATATAATTATAAAAATAGGAGCAAAAGTCATGTTAAGGCGAAATATTGACGTCAGTCTTGGTTTAGTTAATGGTTCCGTTGGTATAGTGCAAAAAGTAAAGGTTGATCCGGAAAATACAAAAATAATTAAGAAAACATACATTAAATATAGTAAAGAACACGTTTACGACCTTGGTCCGGTCAAAACTAAATTTAAAATTATTAATAGAGCTTGTTCATCGCGAACAATTTCCCGTATATATAGCCTATGCTATATCTATACACAAAAGTCAGGGCCTAAGTCTAAATAATGCGCTGATGGATATTGGTTCTTCAGTATTCACATCCGGTCAAGCTTACGTGGCACTTTTGAGTTACACTCTGGGCGGATTACATTTAATTAATGTCGACTTTAAAAGTATTAAAGCGCAGGGATCCTCAATTTGTGAATACAATAGACTAAGAAGTATTTACCGCCCAGACTTGTCAAAAATTTTAACATTAAAACCTCCGAGGAAAACCCACAGAGACAGGGAATGGGCTTTGAGAAAAACTCTCTAGTATATATACAGTAATCTATGAGAAAAACTGTAGCTGAAGCTCAAGAAGTAGTGCCGGAAAAGAAAAAGAGGAAGACTATCTACAAAAATAAGAAAAGCTCATAAGTCAGAGAGTGGGCTTTGAGAAAATCCGTTGTTGGTATTCAAGCAGTAGAAGGTACTGGAAAGGAAAAAGTAGGACTATCTACAAAAAAAATGAGGTGCCAACAAAAACATAACTTGTAAAAAAACCAAGTCTCGCAACTTAGTTCTTCTACCGTAAAAAGTTGTGAGATCCATGTAACACCAAGTCAGTTCATTTATTCAGTCCCTAATTAAGGGTCCTTCTGTCTTAAGTTATTAAATAATTAGCTAACCTAACAATATCTTATAGTGACCATATCAAAATTAAAAATCTTTTATGTTCTAAATAAATAGATTGACTTGGCCATCGCATGAAAACCTAATGTATCTCAAAAGTAATACATATTATATTAAATTAGATTGACAACTCATTGCCCTTAAAATAGAATAATGTTATAATATTTAACTTATCAAATGAAGCATTTCTGCAAGAACAAAGAGAGATGTTTCCTGTTTCAATATGTTCCCGGTCGACATCACTGGCTGTTAGATAAGCGTTTCGATTTTTATTCCTCAACCAATTAAGCAAAGCACACGCTGCGAATACAATTTTGTCTACTCTATCTACATCAGTTGGTATTGCTTTTTGGAACATACTAAATCGGCTTGTCAATATTACAAGCATTGACAAGCCGATTTAGTGTTTTTTATTTTCATTTTCTACTAAACTAACTACTTTAAACTATCTCCTGGATAAGGTTTTAAAATGTATGGTTTTAAAGGAAATGCGACATCAGTAACAATCACTCCACCATTTGGTAATAGATTTTTCTCCACTTTATTATATATGCAGCAAATTCGAAATACACTTCCATCTGATGACATTCCACAAGCTCCGAGGTCATTATATCGAAAGGAATACTATTGCCATAAGAACTATACTGAAAACTTTTTTGTAATTGAAATATGTACTTCCTCTATTATCAGGCGCTAAAATCTAAATATGCATCAATGGCACCATAGCAAAATGGAAAATTCAATCTGTTTCTAAATCCTTTTTCTATTTTTGCCCATTCTTCGACATTAGTTGAGATCTGTAAAAATTTATTTTGTTTATAAGTAATATTTTTTTCTTTTAGGACAACCAAGAATCAGAAGTTGATGAACAAGTAAATACTGAAAATAGTGATGATGTTAACAATGATGACAATATTGCAATTTCGGGAAAATCGTCACAACAACCATCTACGTCTACATCAAATGATATGACGCCACGCAACAAGGTCGCGGAACCAGCACCAGCTGCGAAAACATCTACATCTGGTAATGAATATGGCCCCAAAGTACCACAGGCACAAGCTAGAAGAAATAAGTTGCGAGACTTGGTTTTTTTACAAGTTATGTTTTTGTTGGCATATAATATGGTTATTGTATTGTATTTCAAAACCATAATATCTTGTATAAAATGTTGGCATGGTAATCTATACGAGAGCCATATCACTATTGTCATGTCCCAGCCCTCGTAGTTTTTTGTTAGCTACCCAACCCTATCCTTCTTTACATTTTAGTTCTTGCGCTTTTAATCTAGAGGCGGCGTGTGGATAGAAAAGTATCTACACTCTTTTGGAAATATTTCTTGCTCGTACTTTTCTTTCGCTTTGTCCCATTTGTATTCACGGTTATAGCACGAACTCTTTGTTGTATATGCGGTTTAGATATTAAATATAATTGATTTATTGTTTAGGTACATAACATTTAAATATACGCAATATTATAAAATCATAATAAGAAAAACTAAAACCAAAAACTTAACTATCATACAATCCTACTCCCCGTGGTATCGTCGGTATCGGCTGCGTTTTCCCGCTGAATGGTCTTATTAACTTAATTTTAAATTAAGTTTTGAAGTTTATGTTAGTATAATACGTATCTCATGATTTTTAAAATGATGTCATAATCAAATTTTTGTTATTTTGTCCACTTGGCACTAAATATTGAAATTTAGTTATAATAATTTCTTAATATCGTGAGATTAAATCTAATATTGAATTGAATACAATAAAATCAAAATTATAAACACAAAAAGTTTCTTTAAAGTTTTGTGTAAAAATTAGAATAAAAAACCAACTGCAAAAAACTAAAAACTTACACATAATAGCTTCGGAATTCGATGCCAAGACATAGTGTATAAAAGAATTAAAGCCTTGACTTCAGAAGCTATTAGCTTGAAATAATTTATTAATTTTAGTCGTCTTTTACTTTTTATTAAATGTTAAATTTTTGGACCCATTTGAGTGAATTGGAGTAACACAAACTCAGGTTAACAGCTGGAATATCGTCTTAATACACTTTATCTCCAATTTATCCCAACCTTAGGGGTGGAATGTTTCTTCAATTTTAAAATAAGGCCACTTTTGAATTATAGCATACCGTTGCAGCCTATTAAAGACCATTGCTGAATATAGGCCATCCCCATAAATTTCCTTATATGGGAGATATTTGCCATAGTTGTCACGCTCGGCAAGCGGCTTAGCAACCGCAGTTTTTTTATAAGTCGTTATTAGGAAGACGATGCCGCCCATATCCTGATTTGTTTCTCTCTGTCGCCTCTTATGACACTTACGGGATAATATGGGATAGTGGATATAATATATAAATTCTAGCTGGCTTCAGAGACGTAGTTTCGTCCTTTGCAGTAGGTGGTAATGTGAGTCTTATTCAGAATTCACTACGGAATTTTTACAGCGTTATAAAATTTATTTATAACTCGACCACAGCAATAATTGGTATCAAGTCTAGACTAAAGGTTTTGTGGTTTTCTTTTTTGGCGCTAAGCCCACATACATCGTAAATATAATAAATCGTTTTGGTGAATAGCTTGACTACATCAATCGGATTAGTGTAGTAAGGATTTCTTATACTCGTATATTAGGTTTTATCGTGTTTAATTTTTTCTTGTTATTTTCCAACTTTTCATGCACTTTCTATCGCCTATAGTCTCCGGGGGACTGAGATATTTGACGTCCCGATGTCATACATGTTATTCATATATATACATGTTAACGAAGGCTACTTCAACTTTTATATAATAATGTTTTGTTAAATATAAAATAAAAAAGACCCAAACTAACCGATAATTAAACGGTGAATTTCACCACCATCCTTTACAAATGGCTACTGTTAGAAAATCTTTGTCTCAGGGAGCTCATGGGATCTGTGACAGTAAACAGCTGGACACCGAGCTCCAGCACGTCAAGCTAGTTTTGCAGGACAAAAAGCTACGGGTCCCGCGCCTCCATCACAGTGTACTAGTGAAACCATTCAGTCGAGCGTGTGCCTACTGCACTATCATATGACAGAGGAGTCACAGACAAGATTTGCTACATCTTTAAGCGGGCTTCTATAAGAACATACCACAAGCCGCCAAGGAAGATTCGTCAGTTCTTACCATCCGCAAAGTGTAATATGCCTCTACAATATGCAGCAGTGTACAAGCTTAATTCTGAATGTGGTTTCTCTCGCATAGGACAAATGAAAAGATCCATAAAATCCGCGTGAAATAAAATATCGCTGATGTAAAGAACCGACGCTCCAGAAAATCTGCAGTATATCGACATGTTCAGGATCGTCCCAAGCATTATATCGGATTTGATAGACCACAAATCCTTGCAAAATAACTCCGATTTCTATTAAGGATGATTTGCGAGGCTATTGAACAGAAACAGAAGTTCATATACTGTCAGCTTGTTCTTCGTAAATCGAGCCAAAGAGTAATATTTAAAATTTGAAGATAGAAGCATAGCGTCAAACACCTCAGTATTGCCCAAGCGCCCGAAACATTGGAAAGTAAAAAAGTTGAAATCAAACGCAATAAAATCGATAAAATTAGTTTTGTTCCAAATGAACCATCGTCCCCAAAAAAAATAATATATTGTGTGAATATTAGCTCCTTTGTTGGTTGGATGGTCATTAAGTAACTGGCAACCGCTCTCGCTTCGTCTGGTGGGGTCTATTAATGTAGCGATATTTAGATTTAAGTTAATCAAAGGCCATTTATTATATCAATTTTTCTATTAGAGAAGTTTCATTACCATCGGCTCCGCCATTCCGTACAATAGTCCGGGTAGACAAACAGAGAGAGAGAGAGAGAGAGAGAGAGAGAGAGAGAGATATTTTAATGATGGTTATCCGTGTCCTAATAAAATATTAAAATCTATATAATTATAACATTTTGCAAATTTAATCAATCGCACGTTTTAAAGTGACTTATTCACAAAATCGTAAAAATAAGTAATATGCAATGCAACATGGAAATTGCATCGCAATAAGCGACGCTGTGAGGCAGCGACGCAATAAAACAATAGAAACAAGACGTAACCACTGAATGCACCCGTAAGTGCTGACTGACAATTTTGCATTAATGTTTTCTCTTGAGAGCACCCAGCGTATCTCAAACCCATGTGTGTAAGAATTATATTATATTTGATACCGTAAGTACCATCTTCTATTAACGAAGCCTAAACTTTACGTTATATTTTAATAATAACCAACAGTGTACAATTATTAAGATTAAAATTTAATAACAGAAATTTATTGGTAACATAAATTATGTTACCGATAAGTTACTGTTATTGAATAAATAGTTATAGTAATTATATATATATATAACTAGATAATTCTATTAAACACTTTCCGTTTACAAATCTATTGACAAGTAACTCCCATTAAAACAACTCTCTATTCAAGTATCAGCTTTTACTCAACTCAAATTTTGTTTTAAATCGTAGAACTAAATAATTGTCAATTTGATTGTTAATTTAAATGACCTAAGTAGCCTAATTAATAAAAAGGTATTGTTTAGTTTTGGTGAAATATTGACCAAACAAATCGTTGTTAGGCACCGACTGAAAAATAAAATATTTCGAGCACATATAAATTCCATCATAACACATTGGATCGACGTGGTAGACTGCCCCGTAATCCTATAGTAAAGGCCTGGACACAGGCTGTGAAAAATAGCCTTTTATTTTACTTTACTTTAAACATTTCTAGCTGCTTGGTGATCGTATTATGCCTCAAACTTTTAGCATAAACAAAAATTTGAAAATGTTGATTAAATTTATTTTACCATAAGCCAGGCACTGGCTATTAGCTAGCTACTGTCTACTATCAAACCGAATGGTTAGTGGTGTTGGAGCCGCATGTAAGTCGCAGTACTTTTTGCGTTTGTGCTCGAGGCTGGTAAGATTGATATTGGTATTGATATTACTGAATATCTTTAGTTAAAATGTATTTTTTGGGGTGTATATATACAATGTCGCATTTACCGTAGAATACCGCGACGCGAATATTCTAATCGATCTAATAACACACAGAAATTATAAGACATTAGTAACATATTATATAAATTTATATATGAAAACAAATACTATTATTTTTATGTAACTATTTTTATTTATTTTTTTAACTTTCCGCTAAGAAAATTGAAAATGTTCAACAATCGTGAATTTTATTGTTTTTACCCCGTTTTACGAAAATTGAGTGTTCATCAAGTCTTGACGTTTTGAGGTCACAGGAAGTCACCCTGAGAATTTTTCGATGATGTATGTGTGTGTCGTGCGTGTGTGTGTGTGTGTGTGTGTGTGTGTGTGTGTGCGTGTGTGTGTGTGTGTGTGCGTGCGTTCATGCTGTGTGCGTTCCGTCGAACTGCGTGCGTGTGCGTTCGTGGACGTGCGTAATTTTGAGTGTGTGTGTGTGTGTGTTGTGTTAGGGTGTGAGTGATTACCCAGTGCGTACGTGCATGCGGTGGTGCGTGCGTGATCATGCGTGCGTGCGTGCGTGCGTGCGTGCGTGCGTGCGTGCGTACGTGCGTGCGTGCGTGCGTTTGATTTTGAAGTAGTCTGCATTTGCGACGAATGCCGATTAATAAGCCAAAATCAAACGACGCGTTTAAAAATTATAGCTACTTAAACACTTCTAAATAATTGTTTTGTTTTAAATAACTTTTAAATTCTTCGATCTATCGACAATTTTTTGCACTTAATAAACCTGCGTCGAATAGCGTTAAATAAAACAAAATCGAACGAGGCGTTTATAAGGTAAAGCAATTTGAAATTTCTAAATAATCGTTTTTCCATTCCAAATTTTGAACATTTGAGCTCAAAGAGCTCAAAAATCAACTAATTGGAAGATTTTCGAGTGTTTCCCTCTCGAAAAAAGCGAGAAGTTCTAGGGTTGGTCTACCCTCAAGTGTTTTTAAAATCCGTAGGCGCGGAGACAGAGCAGCCTCCGCCCGCCGTAGAAAATTGCAGGTACCCGTTCGGGGCGTAGCGACTGAGGCTATCTGGAACCAATAAGCCAAAGCTGCGAAGGTGAGCGATTCGCTACGCAAGGGTGAAGGGAACTGCACTTCCCGCAGTGCCGAAGCTGTAACAGAAGTAACGGGTCAATATTAGTCAATATATGTTATATAATCTACATAGTACATTACCTTTTATTTTTTTAATTCTATCACGGAATTGTGAGGTGAACAGGAAGTAATTATAAGTTTAATTATAATATTGGTGTTATTTTGTGTAACATACAAATACTATCTACACACATTATAATATACACTCTATCGCGTTTATGCTCGATGTATGTTTTTAACTAGTGCAATATGTTTTTCGTTCAGAGTTTCATCATCATAATCATCATCAATACAGCCCTTCACAAGTCCACTGCTGAACATAGGCCTCCCCCAAGTAATGCCA